CACGTAAATTAAGAATAGTTCTGAATCAATGAACTAAACGTCCACTGAACTGAAAAATGATTATTTTCAGTTTTCTTACCTTTTTTCCTCCAAACACATTTTCTCCCTCAATCTCATTTTTTTGTCTGGAAAAACGTGAACAAAATATTATTTCATTTCTTGCTCGGCGCAGAGTGTGGACTATTTCCAGGAGGCACTATTTCCAGAAGGCATGTCTTGTCACGTTGTTTTGTTTTCACATTTTCTCATCTTTCTCACTGTCATTTGCTTTTTATCCGGTTTCATCGCCCTCTTTTATGGAGCGGGGCTTCTTTATTGAAAAGGGAAAAAAAGAATCATTTTCTTTTGTTTCTTGCTCTCCCAAGGAAAGTACCGCGGGAACGATATGCTTTGGTTACGGGCGAACGCTTCCAAAGGTAGTTTACTTGCTTACTTGTTAGAGGAAGGAGAAACTCTCGAGTTTCCGGCTGTTTCCTAGATGGAAGTTGCCTTTCGTCACCCTACCAAACGAAAGAAGTCACTATCAAACAACTCGCCCTATTGAAGTACCAAAGGTGCGCGAAGCCTGGTGACTAAGAAAGAAATTGGTTTGCGCTTGAATTGAAGTGATGAGGTCGCAAAGAGGGAAGTAGGGCTCCTATTGAAACGCTTTCCTTCCCTCGCGACCAGCTTTCCATACTAGTTGTTACGTTACGCTGCCATTTTTCCAATATCGTTGAATAGCATGGCCTGGGGCTAAGGTAACTCAAGTGGGAGAGCCGTGTTATGGGTGACCTTATTGCACGGTTCAGAGAGCACTTGTGTATGTGATGCAAGTGAACGTGTATGAAAAAGCTGTCGTAAAGTTTCGTTGTTCGTTTTGTCGTCGACCCTATCTATGTTTCTACGATGGCCCAAGAACACGCTCATTCTTCAGCCGTAGAGAGACTTTTGAATTGCGAGGTACCATTACGAGCTCAATATATACGAGTGTTATTCCGTGAAATAACTCGAATTTCAAATCATTCACTTGCTTTAACTACTCATGCTATGGATGTGGGAGCATCAACTCCGTTCCTGTAGGCTTCTGAGGAGCGAGAGAAGGGGAAGGGATTAACCTTCCCCTTCCCTTAGCCATGCTATACATGAAATACAAATAACATTCTAGTCTAACAATGATAGGTACTATTTAAAAGAAAACAACTCAAGCTTATATTTAATTAAAATGCTCATACAATTAATATGTACTTTACAGGATAGACAATCCTATTGTTACTAGTTACATTTGACTACTCTTTTATAGCTCCTTGTTATAGTATACGTTAGGTACGAGGGCTGCCTCTCCCTTCTATCTCACCTCCTGGATGTATAGTGATTGTTTGAAAAAGCATGTGCTAAGCATGAAATTTTGAAAGAATTACTATACATCTGTTATCCTGTATGGAGCCGACGTCGGTCAAGTATAACTGTCAAGTTTTGCACTCGATGAACAGGGTGGCCGACCTTCTAAAAAGAAAAAAGCGTTTGAGGCCCGCCATTCCGAAGGAATGGAATAAAGAGCCTACCAAATAAAAGTCCAGCGTTTTGTAACCAATTCATACGTTAATCTTACCATATGGAGCCGACGTCGGTCAAGTATAGCAGCTAAAGAACTAAAGGCCAATAGAGGTTCACCACTTCTCATCCTTTAGTTCTTTTAGCGATCATACGGAAAATATGAGTTTCTCTCCCTGATCCTTCATTAAACAATATCCGGACCTCATCTTTTCTGATTTACAGACCGATCAGTGCCGTCTTGTACTTAAGGAGTTGTAACCGGAATTGTTCCCGAAAGATGGGAATAATGTCAGAGACAGGGTTCTGAGAGACGAGGTTTTCTCGCCAACAACGTGGGATTTGACCCCCTGTTAGTTAGTATGAATAAAAATAAAAGATAGGGGGTCAAGAAAAAAATGAATCTTCTTCTCCATAAGATTTGACCTTTATCGGAAATACCTAAAATGAAGGATTGGTTAGACACACGTATATGAAACTCCTATTTGATCTTCTCTCCATTTGCACTATCATTTGCTGTTTTTATTCTTTTGTGCGCGTTTTGTATATACCTCATATACGCAATAATCAAGTTAGAATTGGCGGTGAGAGAGCTTCTTCAAGACTAAGCATTTCTCAGTCTTTCAGAAACCAGTTTCAATTTCTAAAATGGATTCCCAGTTTCAATTTTTGCTTGCTCTTTTTGCACTTGTTTTTATTTTCATTTCCATATGGCTGATAGCATTTTGGAAACATAGGACCACCACCCTCCCCACGACACACAAGACCACCACCCCCACCACCACCACCACCCCAACCATCTCATCCATCGCCACCTCAACGGAAGATCTTCATTTCTATTCTTTCAATGATGATCTCTCTCCGGAGTCCAGGCCACTTACACTCCCCTCATTTCATCCACTTACACTCCCTTCATTTCATCCACTTACACTCCCTCGCACTCTTTCAAACAAGATTCCCTACATTTCATCCACTTACACTCCCTTCATTTCATCCACTTACACTCCCTATATTTCATCAACTTACACTCCCTTCATTTCATCCACTTACACTCCTTATATTTCATCCACTTACACTCCTTTCATTTCATCCATTTAACTCCCTCGCACTCTTTCAAACAAGAATGTCAAATCGTTTCTCGAAAATGATCACATCGTTTCAAACAAGATTATCAGATTGTTCCTGGCAGGTCCTCGGCGGTCTCTCTCTCTCTCTTTCTGACTACGCAGACGAAATGTGATACACGGCAGTCTCTGATCTCGAGATTGGTTTGGTAATTTTTTTCCTGAGCAAGTCTATAAACTCCGACTTCGCGGACTGAGCAAGCCTATTATTACTTTTTTGTGCAGGCTGCTCTTGCTTGTCATGTCTGCTTTTTCTACTCTTACTGCTCATACGTGCGTTACTTTTTTTCCTGAGCAAGTCTATAAAATTTTAGTAGCATATTATTACTTTTTTGCTTTTTGTTGCAGGCTACTCTTGCTTGTCATGTCTGCTTGTTCTACTTTTACTGCTCATACGTGTGTTTAAAATTAATTCCAAAATAATTTTTTTTTTTATAAAACTGAAAATGAAAACGTTTTTAATCTCATATAGAAATCGTTTTTAAAAATATATTTAGTAGTTTTATTAATAGATTATTTTCAGTTTAAGAAAAAATTGAAACTTCGTTTAGTTATATAATCTTCACCTACCTGCCCCAAAAAACAGCTTCTGTCTAAAGAAATAGAAATAAAAAATGAAAAACGATTTCAAATCGTTTTCATTTTCTAAATGATTTTACACTAAGTGTGCGTTTGAAACAAAATTTTGTGTCATGATTCGAATTAAAGTTTGTGACTCATTATGGTATTTTCATTTAAAAAAATACACGTAAATTAAAAATAGTTCTGAATCAATGAACTAAACGTTCACTGAACACTGAACTGAAAAATGATTATTTTCGATTCTCTTACCTTTTTTCCTCCAAACACATTTTCTCCCTCAATCTCATTTTTTTGTCTGGAAAAACGTGAACAAAATATTATTTCATTTCTTGCTCGGCGCAGAGTGTGGACTATTTCCAGGAGGCACTATTTCCATAAGTACTATTTCCAGAAGGCATGTCTTGTCACGTTGTTTTGTTTCCACGTTTTCTCATCTTTCTCACTGTCATTTGCTTTTTATCCGGTTTCATTGCCCTCTTTTATTTGATATTCTCTCCATTTGCACTATCATTTGTTGTTTTTATTCTTTTGTGCGCATTTTGTATATACCTCATATACGCAATAATCAAGTTAGAATTGGCGGTGAGAGAGCTTCTTCAAGACTAAACATTTCTCAGTCTTTCAGAAACCAATTTCAATTTCTGAAATGGATTCCCAGTTTCAATTTTTGCTTGCTCTTTTTGCACTTGTTTTTATTTTCATTTCCATATGGCTGATAGCATTTTGGAAACATAGGACCACCACCCTCCCCACGACACACAAGACCACCACCCTCCCCATGACACACAAGACCACCCCCACCACCACCCCCACCACTACCACCACCACCCCAACCACCTCCTCCATCTCCACCTCAACGGAAGATCTTGATTTCTATTCTTTCGATGATGATCTCTCTCCGGAGTTTAGGCCACTTACACTCCCTTCATTTCATCTACTTACACTCCATTCATTTCATCCACTTACACACCCTTCATGTCATCCACTTACACTCCCTTCATTTCATCCACGTACACTCCCTACATTTCATCCACGTACACTCCCTACATTTCATCCACTTACACTCCCTTCATTTCATCCACTTACACTCTCGACTCTCAGTGATTTGGATTTAGACATTGAATTTGGATATTTTTTGTTTGTAGTATTATCAATTTGGATGTTGTGCTTTGTTTTCATTTATTGTGATTACATATTTGCATAGAATGAAAGTTTTACATTTTTTCAAATTTTCTGAATAAAAAATGCAACTAAAGATGTTGGTAACCTTATGATTTACTGAGAGATACCTTCCTGATTACAAAAATTGAATACCGATAGAAAATCGAAGTCAGTTAACCGAACCGACTACTCCCTTATGCGGTTCAATTTCAATGCACGATTTTAAAAAATCAAAATAATAAATTCAGCCACCAAACCAACTGATACTGACAACTTTTAACCGAGAAACAACCCTAAACCGTTATTTTAAATGCGTTCAAAATTAGTATATATATATCTCCTATTGAAGTTAACCTTTTATTTTTATTATATTAAAAAAATAATATACAGCCCTATTAAAGTGAAAGCCTCGCTAAACCACTAGCATGCAATAAGATCTAATTTAAGGCATGAACTGGATTATGCAAATATTCATGTTTAGAGCTATTCTAAATCCCGGCTGCTACACCAAGAAAAGTTCATTGCACTCCAGAAGTCCCCCGCAGTAAAATAGAGAATAACAGACAATTGACTGGATAAGATGTATTAAACTTGACAACATGATAAAATCAACTTGGGAATTGAAGTCATTATAACACAAGAAAACTGTTGTGTAAAATATTTTTAAATTACATATTCAAACATCCAATCAAGTCCAAGCAGAGATTTGTCAGAAAGGAATTACGCTTCAATTCAGTTCTTATTTTACTTGGAGCCAAGTGCAAATGACAATTTTGGCCTGGATTTGTTCTTGCCCAAAAGTTTCATCTGGTTTAACCGTTCTTGCTCCTCCTCTTGCTTCTTCCTCCGCAAGGCCTCTTCTTTTTGTCTCTGCAGCTCTTCCAGCTCCCAGTACCGCTCCTCCTCCCTCCGCTGCTGCTCCAGAGCTTCCCTTCTCTGGGATTCTTCCACCTGCCGACGATTCTCTTCAAGCATCCTTTCTAGCTCTTCTTTTTCTTTCTGTGCTTGTTCCTTTGATCAATCACGCAAGTATCCAGCGTGAGAAATAAGAATATTTATAACCCAGATCAATTCAAGTAGAAGATGGCAGACACAAAAACTTCCAGAATCAAGATCATGTTTCTTTCTTTTCATGTGTTTTTTGAGGGCTGAAAAAAGAGTCACTCGTGAATCAAAATGGGCTACTCAGTTGTCCATCCACGTCTGCTGGAAAACCATCTTATCTGGGATCCTGAGTCACGTACCCCTTACCATGTAATCTTCAACTTTTATCTTTCATTAATTTCAAAACCAGGGTATTTAAAGTGAGAAAAATTCTTCCCAAATAAATCACGTACAGCTCGTCCAGTAACTTTCAGGATGATTCACGCTTGCAAAAACAAGTTCAAGGTAGAAAGGGGTCATGCATCACGCACTTGAAGGAAGAATATTTGCAAATGATTTACCTCTTTTTGTCTAGCCTCAATAAGTGCGGCTTCCTTTTCCTTCTCAAGTTGAGCAGCAACTTCATAAAGAAGTTTCTTCCGCCCCTCCTCCAACCGCCTTTTTATTTCCACTCTAATCTCCTCTGAATCTAAGCTTTCTTCAACTTTTTTACGAATTGCTTCCTCCACTCTCCTTGCAGTCTCTTCTTCCAGAAGTTTTAATTCTGCTTCCTGCTGCCGCCTGAGTAAAGGTGGGGAAAAAAGTTAAAGCAAAAAAGTGATCTCTAATTCAAATTAGGGGAAAGGCCTCGTTATGGATCCTAAATGTCCTAAATCAAGAGAAGAGTAACTATAGAAGAGCAGGCAACATATGATCCTTCTTCTTTTTTTCATCTATGTCGATCCACGACTATAACAAAATGCAACTAACCTTCGACGGGGCAAAGGCACTAATCATATGCTTATGCTTTTAAGGCATACCTCTAAGTGAATCTGATCCAAATAAATGAGTTTCAAAACTGGTGACAGTAGATAAAGGAGCACCATATTGATCATCAAATATAACAAGTTGAACTATAGCAGTATCTTCCTTGAGAATAGCCTGTAGAGAAAATTGTCAAGTAACCAGTTGCAGTTTTAAAACTAATCACTGAAACACACTTTACATGCATGATGCATTTTTGCTAGAAAATATCTGTAAGTTCCTTAATGTATGGCCGGCGTTTAATCCTTTTTCAATCGCCAAAGGCTCAATATTTCACAGTTCAAAAGACATTCATAGGCCAAAAACAGAAGCTCCACAATAGCAGAGTACTAGGTTAGCAACATGAAAGTTTAGGGTTGTGAAAGAATACGAGTCAATTCCAGCTCAAAGGGTCTGACTACAGCCCAACCAAAGCCTAACCTGGACACACCTTCAACAGCATACCCACTATAGAAGCGTATGGATCAATTCCTTACTTTGGATGCAGGGCAACAACAAAAAATCACTAAAGGCGCTTAGAAAGTTAATATATTTGATTCATAGGATAGTAAGACACTGAGATTAACCAGAAAGCTATATTTAACCTCGTTAGATTGAATTTACCAAGTGGTCATACCAAAATCGAAAATAAATTCATGGAACAATGAGGGCTCATTGACAAGTGGAAAGTGCATAAAAAGAGAATTGAAACAATTACATTTACAACTATGATAAGAAAATTGTAATAGCTTTCTTTTAAGGTAGGATGCAGATCGGGTTAGAGAGGAAAAGAGAACGCCTCAAACTCTTCTCTTTTTTCTTTTTCAAGGGAAACACCGCCTCAAACTAGAGTCTTAAACCCAATTTGAATGGCTAACTCGAAGTTCGAACTATGTTACTCTTGATCCGGCAAAATCATGATTCATGGCTAACTTGCTCTTGTTCCATTCTCTTAAGGGCAGCAATGGGAAAACAAATAAATATATACCTACGGGCCTTTTTTCCCTTTTTCTGAGGGAAACCTATGTGCCATTAGAACCTTGAGTTTTCATGCGACAATACACGGATACCTTTGTATTTTGTTTGATCCAACATATTATTAAAAAAAATAAAAAAGTGAAATGTAGAAAAAAGAAAATGAATTAAATCATTAGCATGCTAATATCAGCTAAGAAATAGGAAATCAAGCATTCAATGGAACGTAGAGACCTATGAATCAAGAAGAACGCCAATAACTAAACATGTCAAAATTTATTGATTTCGTTCAGTAGACATTACGTACCAAACATAAAGACATTATTTCCATTTTCTCCGAACAATTATGATTAATGGTCATCAATGCATTACATTCTAGGTGCACATGAAACGAAGCAGTGGAAAATTATAAAGTATTAACAATGCATTTGAAACGTGAAAAAGTGACTCAATAGCCTCTTGTAATGATACGAACTGATAATGGCAAAGCATTCAAAGTGCGATGATGTGCCGCAATGAAAATTCTATTCCATTTTGTCATAAAAGAATACAAATAAATGACTTCTTTTTCCTTTGGTCCTGTGTAACAGTTTTGAAACCACTACTTTTTTATATGACATGACTATTTATAATTCTGTGATGAATGGTAAAATTACGCAGTTTCAAATTAAATAAAGTCAGAACTAGTGTGGTAACATATTGCATGAGCACCCTGCAACCTTTTCTACACGCTACCAGTAAAATCAAATAAACTTGATGGGGTTAGAGGGAGCCAGGGAGGTAGAAAGAGCTATGAAAATGCATATACTAGAACTACTAGCCAACTAATGTCTATCAATTAAATATGCCGCTTTACACATCCATTGTGAAAAATGAAATCTTAAAAGTTCATTTTCTAAGAGTTAAGAAAAGCATAAAGGAAAAAAAATTACCGCAACTTTAAACTCATTTAATGTTATAGAAGACTATAATTAGCATGCAGAACATTTCTATATCCTAAAAACTAACTACTAAGTAGGAAATTAGCGCTTTAAACATCATAACTTGAATTTTCCTTGAAAAACAAACAATGAGCAATTGGCTCGTTTGGCAAGATCACTAATGTTGCCATATGGTTGTGTGAAACTATTGAACAAGGCTCAACAAAAAATCTAGTATCAGAGTTTCCTTCTTCCATGAGTTAAAAAAAAAAAAACACTACACTATAATCAAAGAATATAACGTATTTTATATTAAAAATTAGCTAAAACATGATTCCAATCAACTCAATAAAATGATTAATATAAGGTCTGATACAATAAATCCAAAAAGCAAAATTGTTTAAACAGAATAACTTGTGGAACAACAATAAAGAAAGCCTGCCTACATTTCAAAAAGGTCACATTAACACATGCGTTCCATAAAAGAAAAAATAGGTCACGGACTATGAAAATAAGAAGACTGGTATGAATCAACTCATATACCTTTTCTTCTCTTCTTCCTCTTCTTTTCTCAATTTTTCATGAGCATTCTTGCGCTCTATTGAACCAATACTTGGACTAGATGATTTATGAATTGGAGATGGTGACACGCTTCGACTTCTTTGTCGCTTATGACGCCTTGGAGTTCGAGAATGACTTCTACGACGCCTTGGAGTTGGGGAATGGGAGCGACTTCTACGACGTCTAGGGGAAACAGAACGACTTTTCCTTCTGTGCAGTAATATATAAGTTTGAGAAACCATGAACCTTGAATTATAATGGCATGCTGATCAAGAACTATCACGACAACCTACCACAGCATGAGAAATACAAAAACACGTACAGTTACCTCATACATTGTTAAGAATAACCTTTCTGCGCTCCACCTTTTATCACATGAAGAAGCAAATGTCACATTCGAACGAAAAAAGGATACTCAACGGCACCCATCACCTGCTCACTTCCCATAGCATGGGATGAAACTAAGCTGTCTTTAATTTTTATGAAGAGCAAGAATTATATCCTGCTCTTACAATACTCTGTTTATTTTGCTCCAACTATTTGTATTTGATATCCTTAATTTGGGAAAATTAGCAAGTCAATTTCCAAAGATCATTCGTACATCAATTTATTCTCCCAATTGAGCTAATACAATCAGTAGACCTTTTCAGACAAAATCAGCCATAATTGCATCGGCATGGTATTAATAGAAGTATACAACTGAATTCATAATTACACTATACATAAAGGCTATAAATAAATGACAACGTTCAAAGCATACCAAGTATAAGGTAAACACTCAAACCACTAATCCCTGTCTATTAGAATGCGTAGAAATAAAGACTTCAAATATTAGGAATAAGCATTCGGAAGTTCAAGTCAAGGTAATGTTATGCGGCCAAATAGGGCAACCTTCAAGATTCATATCTTTTTGTCAGAAGCTTCCAAAGTCTATAATACTCCAATAACATGTTACCATTAAGTAGACATAACCACCATCACCAAGTTCAAATTATAGCCATGAAAATGCCTCATTATCTTTTCCATCATTGGATGCAATGCAATACCATAACTAGGTTAGAGTTATACTAAAACTGCATGTTAAAAGGAAAAACTAATGAAAATCACTCAATGAGAAAGGATAAGATGCGTACAAAGCAACTCGAACATCATGAAATCCAAACCGCATCAGCAAATACGTCTTCATTCTTTCTAAGAGTCGTTTGAAAAGTAGTCAAATTAGTACAAGGCGGAATATAAACGGGATCACCTGCTATGTGAATAGGATGAGTATGGAGATCGGCTCCTATCTCTTCTGCTTCTCCTGCTATTTCTATGTACTACTGGAGAGGGCGAACGCCTTCGCCTATACGAAGGCGATCGCAATCTTGAGAGATCCCTAGGCATCTTCTTGAAACTCTAGTTTAAGCCGGGGTAAGCGCAAACAACAATAGATATCGTTTCTGTTTGCCTAAGAAAGCAAAACAAACCAAAGAATGTCAAAAACATATTACAGTTTTACCATTACAATAAACAAGTTTGCAATTAATATCAACCAATAAGCAGAAAAACAACAACAACAACGAGAGCATTAAATCTTAACCATAGTTAAAGGCGGAATCGGAAATCAAGGTGTCTTGTGTAATGTAATCGAGACAAAGCATAAGCTGAATGAAGGGCCTTTACACTTGCACTCCCTATTTTTTTGTTTTTTAAGAAACAGGGATCCTTATTGATCAAAAGAAAAATAAAAAGGGAGATAAGAGGAAGAGTTTTCCTCAAGCAACCCAGTTCCAAAAGCACAACGAAATGTCAGAAAAAATTGACAAAACCAAAACTGAACCAGAAAATAACGAAGAGAAAGGCTACAAAAAAGGAGCGCAACTCCTGACAAAATCCGAGAAGACCGGCATGCCAAACTCTTTATCCCTGTAAACCCACAATGAAACCCAGTACTTAATTTTATCCCATAGGACAAAAACATCTTTCTCACGGTCTTCAAAGACTGCTATTTTTTTCTTACCAGATGCCTCAAAAGATGGCTAAGACTGCAACCCTCCCTATGTTGGACCAAAATAACACACTCCCTTAACTACAATAAATTACATCAGCACCTCGAATTTTCAAAACAAAAAAAAAAAAGAAAACTACAGAGACACTCCTCCGTTAGTTGATCATGGCAGAAAACCCTAGATTGACCTCTAATTTGTTATATATTTTTAAAATGCCCAGAATGCCCCTCCCTACATCAGAAAATGTTTCAGCTATAGATAGAGCTAAAAAATGACGTATTTACCCTTATTTAGCACCAAAATATGAGTTTAATTGATTTTTACACTTGTGAGCATAATCTTCACCCTAAGGGAAGAAAAACGTTTTCTTTCATGTACCTTCTTTTTCCTTCAAAAGTCCCTTTTCAATGGTAATATTGTTCGATTTACACTTGTAATATTTGAAAATGATAGACATGTTCTCCGTTCATCAAGTAGCACACTACATAAAAACATATCTAAACCAAAATATATCTAGAAACATTATATATTATGTAGTGCAAAAGAATCACAAATAGCTAAACACACAAACAAATTAAAAATAGCAATCTTCAACAATATCAACCAAAAATCACAAAAAGAAAAAAAATCCAAAAACATCAATAAAATATCTAACAAATTCCACAATAAAACGAATTCCATATACTAATTTATATTTCATAAACTAAGCTTCAAATAAAAATTTCAAACACAACTTCAATAATCTATAAACCCAATTTCAACTTAAAACACTTTTGAAGCTCTTCTCATTCTTATGGTCAACAACCGCAAGCTCGGGCATAACCATAACGAAAAATATCCTTCTCCTCGTCACTCAATCTACCGTTTTCGTTTCCCCCAAATACTAATTGGACTGCTTACTATCTCCACCGTTCTCAGTCCAGAATGTCTGAATCTATCTTCAATCACAGGGAAATCCATTTTTGCAAATTATAACAGCCACCCAAAATAACCAAAATTAACCAAAGGAGCTAAAGTTTACATTCCAAAGCAACCCATTTTAAGGTTTTGTAACACCTGAGAAATCCGGTATCATCATAGAAGCAAAGGGAAATCATCAATTTTACAGTAGAAACGTTCAAATTTCCTCAAAGACTTGGTTTTTCCACCACAAAATCCCAACTTCAAACCACAAAAAAAAAAAAAAAAAAAAAAAATGAAAACAGAAAACTTGGCTTACGGATGGCTTGAAATCGGATCGGAAGGAGGGATGGCCACGTTGATCGCGACGGCAGAACTCGGAGGATCGCAAAGGGCTGGGGATGGGGGCGGACGCTCTAGGGTTTTTTTTTTTTTTTTTTTAACGACTTGAACAAGGCTGAGTCCTGAGACGTTCGTTACGTTACCTCAAATATATTTTATTTATAGTGTTGTTATTATGGTTATTTTACACATATTCTATGAATTTCTATGGTTTTAGTCACTTATTTTTTAAATTTTTAATTTCAATAAATTATACTCTTAACTTATAAAATTATTACAATATGCTCTATTTTAACGGTTATGTTAAATTAGTATAAAAAAACACGTTCGTTAAAAAATTCTAACATCTCAATTCAAATATAACACAAATCTCTCAATTCTTTAACTTGTATTCCCTTAAATCTAATAAAAAATTTAGACAAATTTAGTAAAAATGAGGTAAATTATAATTTTATAAGTTTAAGAGGTTGATTGTCAAAATAAAAAATTTATAGGGCAATTTTCTAAATCACGACAAGTTCAAAAGCAATTGTGCTAAGACCTATCATCATCATCATCATGTGAGTTACTCTCGTAGACTAACAAACCGGTAGTGTCAATTTTTTAACCGTTAGGGATAATCATAATCACATTAGATTAAATAAATATACAAAACAGATAATTTTTCATACATATCTATAGTTGACAATGAACTACTAGTAGCTCATTTTTACTCGTCATACCAGAGAAGCTCTCATTTTATGTATTAGTTTTATTGTTTTTAAAAGATAAAACGAGTTGGAATGCTTATTAATTTTTGAAGGGATGAAAAACTTATTTTAGTACCTTATAGTATATCAAAATATCTAAAAAGTGCTATGTGTTTAGTATAATATTAAATAAATATTTTTTTAAAAATATTAAATAGGTACTTAAATTTTTTAAAACACATTTTCTAAAATATCTTGAATTCGTTTTTAAGATATAAAAATGTCCAAATTACTTTTTTAATTCATTAATTAAAAACTAAATTTTTTATTGAGAATTAAGTTTAATAAATCATTTTAAAAATATTCTTAAACAATAAACTACTTTTAAAGTTTTGTTTAAAATGTTTTGGATTATAAAAATTTCATTTTTTTTTTTTGTGCTCAACAATTTGTATCCGATTAGTTTGTGAATCACCATAAGGGTACTTGGGATGTTTTTTATTTTTTTTTTCTCCAGTTGTTGGTTTTTAGTTTGGGATTTTCTTTAGGAGGTCTCTCTACTAATAATATTAGTTTCTAATTATTGCATTTGGTCAAAATCACATCACATTAAAAAAGTATGCAAACCAAACAGTTTTTTATACAAATTCTAAAAGTTAAAAAATAAAAAAAAAATTTGATAATTCATTTATTTTGTCTTACTAAAGAATCTCCCTTTTGGTTTGTAGAAGTTTTTAATGAGTGTTTTCTACATAAATTTTTTTTTGTATGAACACCCTTACAACTTTACAAATTTAGCAAATTGGTCTTTTAATTTTTTTTCTTGACAATTTACCTATTAAATTTCAAAATTCGTTGCAAACTTTTACGTGGAAGAAACCGTCAAAAATTTTAACTCTATTTTCATTTTGACCAACAATGCAATTAATTTCAAAATTCAAGAAATTAATTTATCAAAATTAAAAGTTGAATAACCAATTACCATGTGATAGTCGGCTCAGTTAACTGACTAAGGGTTGGTTTTAGCTTAAAATTGAATTTTTTCAGTTTCTAACAGTCGGAAGGCAGTCGGTGTAAGTTTTTCGATTTTTTGAACACAACTGATATCCATATCAAGGGGTATCAGTTTCAAGAGAATGTCAAGCGCCGATCCCTTAACGAGAAGATGCATAGCATACGTCTCCAATGGATTCTGTTAACCAAAGTTTTGGGGCAGAACCATGGCAGTGGGAGTGTTAAAGGTAATTTTTTATTTTGATGAAGAAATTTTCTTTAAGGAGGTGGTGTTGTAAAGCAAACAAAATAATGATTTATTAATTGTATTTAATTATATGAAATTGAGATTGCTACTGTTATGCCCCGAAATAGGGGTCGGTGACATGGAGGCTCGATTAGGAGTAATAATCAAAAATCCAAAAGTAAAGCATTAAGTAAATTCCTAAACAAGCCTCCATTTCATTAAAATATATTACAAGGGAGAGGTCTAAACTCAAACCTCAAGATCACTCAGGATCTATCCACAGGATATTCATTATCGTACATACATGACATGTGTAAATAACATTACAGATATAAACCACAGTCTAGAAATCCAAATGTCAGAGTTTACAGAATTTACAAATTCTTACATTTATCCAAGAGGATGAACACGATCCTCACTTGATCAAATGGTAGCAAATAATCCAGCTACTCCGCACCGCTTCTAGAATTTCCTGGGAGGGGTTTAATATTTATAAACAATAAAACGTGCGCGAAAGGCTCAGTATGATATATTTTGAAATAAACTTTATAAATAAATGAATAAATAAATAAACGAGTAAATAAATAAATGGATAAGTAAATAAAATAAGACATTCAGTTCCAACACAACAGCCAGAACCTCACATCCTTTTTCTCAAAGGAAATATAACTAAAAATCTTCGTGTTACAGGCATCATCGAGTAATTTATTCTAGGATAAACTACTTATACAACCACGTGCACAAGCCATATCACCCCTGGGCCGGGTTTCGAGTTCTGCCCCCAAGGATGTACTCTCCATATCCTATATTGGCCATTAGCCGGTTTACTGATTCGCAAGATCTCTTGTCTTAAGAAATCATTCATTAAACTTTCTGAAATCATTCATTATAATACCATGAACTACAACAAGCCATGGGTACCATGAACTATGACAAGCCATGGGTTTTAAACATTTTTCTTTCGCAAACAAGCCCCTTTTCTTTAAAACATTTGCAAGGCCAAAATCCTTTTGAAAATAGGCTCACAAAGGAAAGGGTAAGAAATCCTACCTCGCAAGTACCAAACCTGGCTAGCGTTACTCTATTCCAGCTTTCGCTTCCTCAAGCCTCTCAATCTGAGTACTCAGCTAGCACTGATACAAAACCATGCTTTAGGATCCAATTCACATTCCTAAAGCAATTCAATCTCAATCGTACCATTTGATTTCCTATTAGTGTGCCTTAATCAATTTTCAAGTTTCATAAACGAATTCATGTTTCAAATCATCATTCCAATGGTTTTAAATCTCAAAACATGGATTAAAGATGTTAATCCATTTATTCTAGGTCCCCAAATGAAGCTAATTTAGGTCATCCTCGAAAACTGAGGTCAAAACAGCATTTTCAGGTCAAACGGGGTCAAACCCCGTGTACACCAGTCGACCGGCGACAAAGCAGTGCAACACCACCGGTCGACCGGTGGTGTGCAATCTGGTCGACCGAACAGGTCGACCGGTGAGGCCAATACAGTGCGGTCGACCGGTGAAGAACACCAGTGTGAGAAAACTCACAAAATCAGTTTGAAACCTATAAATCCAGTCCTAAATCAAAATATCACAAGGGACAACCACTAGATCCGGGTTCTAGGTACTGAATCAAGTCCAAAGAACCCGAGATCTCCAATTTCTACTATAGTTTTACTCAAAATCCATTTTGAACCAAAAATAAGTTTTTAAATCCGAAAATCTGAGATTCAATAGAAGTTTTTCAGAAATCTTACCTCGAATCCTTCTCTTGGCGTTGAAAACTTTTTAAAATCCTTACTTAGTTCAAAATCCGGTTGGTTTGAGACAAAAACGGGAGAGAGAATGAGAGAGTGAAGGAGAGTGAGAGTGAGAGAGAGAGTGAAAACGAAAGAGAGAGAGGGAGAGAGAGAAAGGGACGCACGGGAAAAAGGAAAGGAAGGAAAAGAAAAGAAAAGTGAAAAAGAAAAAGGAAATGGACAGTATCACAAAATTAAAAAGACAGTCAAGAAATGTGCCCATACATACTTCTGGGTAAAAATGTAAATACTGAGAATATTTAAATACCTTGGAATTATTTAAATTAACACGTTAGAAACATTTATTAATCAATAATCAATTAATTAATCCAGATTAGACACACTAATAAATCTTAATTACCTCAATTAATCTCATTTAATTCTTCGGGGTGTGACAGCTACTATGCCAAATCAAAATTTAATGATACACTCTACATATTTATGAAACTTAATTTCACATAATTTGTGTTATTCTAGATTTGATTTTAATTAGTTGCATTCCCATTTTTAGGATGTGACAGACTGGATATATTGCGCACTCCTCTAGGATAATTTAACGTGTGGTGTTTCTACAATCCGGTGCGATATTTTTAATGATCGACTTAGATATACTATAATTAAAATGATTAATATTTATTTTAACCATTAGAATAAGTACTTTTCAACACACAACGTCATTATGTATTTTAACGATGAACATAATAATATCTGCATAATATTTATGTTTACAATTAAAATAAGTATTTTAGTGTTGCATAAAATCACGCCACTAGTATGGGACCCTATGAACTGACATGATCCGAGCTCGATAATAGATATTAAATTTGATTAATTTTTAATTAGTTAAATATTATTATTAAATTTAGTTTATGTCACCATCAAAAACCCAAGCCGCACTATATGATTAAAAAGATACATTTAGAATAAGTAAATCATACAAATAAGCTTTGTTTATTGATATAACCAAATACTATGTGATATAGACTTTCACTAGGTAATAATTTTATCAAATCTCTCTAATTATATTGTCATCTATAAGTTCCCTTAATACTCTAAGTGACTTACTTATGAAATGAGTATTTGGGTTTTTTATTCAATTCTATTGGGAATACTACGTGATATACTATCCATTTTTTCCGTTTGTTTTTAATAGAAATTTTACCGGAAGAAGTTAAATATAATAGATTTAAGAGTAGTTATATTTACACCCTAAAGTTTTACAGAAGTCAACACTAATTAATACTATTTTAATAAGGATTTGAAAATTTTATCCTTTTATAGATTTAATTTTCATAATACTTAATTTAACTCATTCATACCCCTCTTAATTTTAATCTTGTTTTGATTTATAAAATAATATAATTCGTTTCAACTATTAATGTTATATTTTATTTTTTCACATTAATGCAATTCTCTTTACCTTTATTTATCAATAGTAGTTCTATTTATATCCTCATTTTTATTTTCTATCCCATTCTAATTATGCACCCTCTTAATTTTCGAATGATGAAATTTATTTACCACACACCATTATTATTTCAAGATTAACACTAACTATTTAATAAATATTTATTTTTGACCACTTTATTTTTCTCCTCACGCCCATCATTTTATTTTAAGTTATTATTAAAAAAGTAAAACAAATGGCACAAGCAACTAAAGAAAAAGGCAAAATAAACAATTGAAAAAGAAAAAAAAATGAAAGCAAAACGACTCAAAAATAATAAGTTAAGTTGAACAAAACCGCAACACAATCATATTACTGATTAGTCTTATAAAAAATGAAAGGGTATATAGAGTTGTAATTAGCTTTTAACTAGAGATGTGGGGCAAGTTTTTTTATTTATTTAAAAAATACTTTCTAAATTTGATTGAATGTCTGTACGCTCTTTTATTTATTTTTTAAAAAATACTATTTTCATTTATAGTTAGTGTGGGGTATGTTGGTGGGTTTTAATGTAATTTCAATATAGGATAAAATTGTAATAAATACAAGTTATGAATTGGTAGGAATATTAATGAATTTAGTAGATATAGATATAATTATTTTAGATTTAAAGTTTGAGGGGTGAAGCAAGAGTTTTTAAAGACTTGTTTAGTATATGAGTTCAAAAAAAGAATTTAAATGAAGATTCTTGATTATGATTTTTAAAATTTAAATTTGTCTAAGAGAAAAATACTATAGTAAAATTAAAACTATAAATTTATACTGTGATAGAATCTATATACTAAACATACATTAAGGTGACATTTGGTTTATGAGTTTAGAATTTTAATTTTTAAAATTTAAATTTTTTATGAGAAAAAATAATGTAACAAATTAAAAATTATAATTCAGAACTAGGTCAGAACACTCGAAATAAACAGAGCATAAAATTTAAGGTATAATTCACTTCGCGAATTCAAATTTTTAATTCGAGCTGATATGCGACATTTTTTAAAAATTTTTTACTGTAAAAAAAAATTACATATGATATTTTTTAAAAATTTTTTACTGTAAAAATTTAAAATTAAAAATTTAAGTTAGAAAAATAAACGAGTCTTAAAAGATAATAACGAAAATAACATAAAGTTTGAGGTTAAAAAAAAAAAAAAGCCTACAATGGGAGCAAGGTGTCAGAGAAAAATACAACACAGATCTGGGGTGGTGTGCAGGTAAGCGAGTCCCTCTCCGTTTACAGAAAGATTTCCTTCTCTCTCTCTTTTAGTCTTATAAATAAATAATCTCATTAAAATTTCGGCACAAAACAAACATCAAAAAAAAAAAAAAAGCCTACAATGGGAGCAAGGTGTCAGAGAAAAATACAACACAGATCTGGGGTGGTGTGCAGGTAAGCGAGTCCCTCTCCGTTTACAGAAAGATTTCCTTCTCTCTCTCTCTCTCTCTCTCTCTCTCTCTCTCTCTCTCTCTTTTAGTCTTATAAATCAATAATCTCATTAAAATTTCGGCACAAAACAAACATCATTTATAGAGAGAGAAAGCGTCTGACTTTAAGACAGAGAGAGAGTAATGAAGATGATGATGAAGAGCGCGGTTGCCATCATTCTGGTGATCCTCTCAATGGCTGCAGCAGGCGAAGCCATTTGGCTAACCGTACCTCCTTCCGGTACCAAGTGCGTCTCCGAGGAAATCCAGAACAACGTTGTCGTTTTGGGCGACTACGTTGTCGTTGCCGATGATCACTCTCTCAGCCCCACCATCTCCGTTAAGGTATGAACTTATTCTCTTCCGA